GATTTGTTTACTGTATGGCCATTAACGTTTGTGGCAATATGTTGTAGGACTCATCCCACTTTTCATACAGCATCTCCAACGCGATGACCTTTGCGTACCAAGCCTTCTTGTAATCCATCCGAATACCCCATTTTTCCTTGACATCTTCGATGACGTATTTAATTTTGTATCGCGGATCATCTGCAATTTTTTGTAAAATTAGTTCCGCAATCACTTTACTGGTAAGGTTGTAGTCATCTCCGCCCTTCGTATAGTCCACACGGCATCCGTGGATATTATGAAACTTTTTAACTTTCCATGCATCGGAATCTTGGATCTGCGCAGCACTAATCATCCACGCACACTGTTGGGGATATAAACAGGTAGCCTTCCAATATTTGCTCTTCTTGGTCGCCGTTTTAAACTGCGTATGTTGGTCAAGATTGTGTTGTGTCACCATATTCTTTAACTGTCGGTAGCTGTCGAACACCATTCCAACTCCAATGGACGAACTAGCAGTTTGAAAAGCATTCACGTATGATGTATAATCATTGTACCAATCTGGATCATGTGTTGGCGGACGAGCACCCGTATCATGTATGGACGTGTTGGCAGACGATTCAACCTCTTCAACGGGCTCATAATCAGGGTCGTCATCATCATCGGAAGGAAACAAACATTCATCCCCACTTGTGTTTGTTTCTTCGTCTAAAATGGCATTATTCGCGTCACAAATAAGATGATCCATTGGTACTATCTGTATGTGCTCTGCTTGCGTGCTTTGTCGTGATCGACCAACACTACGCCTTCGTGTTTCACATGTTCTAATGGGCGTGCGGTTAACGCTAGTACCCCCTTGAACAATGTTCATGTTCAATGTTGAATGGAAAGGCAGTGGAAGTTTCACAAAAACCACTAGCGCCCCAAACGTTGACATGACCCCCAAAAAATATGACCACGTCTGATTATCGGTTATTGGAAATGGATAAACTACATCACCCAGAGATTGATTTGGCTGAAATTTTCCCCATAACAATATATCACCAACATTGTCTCCAATTTGAAAACAATTCTTAATCTTGGCCACTAACTGTTCGAATGAACATGTTGCAGAGATGAACACGGCATTTTGGAAAGCAATGTTGAAATCCACATCATCTCTATGACCCTCATGTTCGGGATGACGACATATCAACACAACCACCTGGTTACCTATAGAAAATAAAATCTCATACATGATAAAATTATAATTACAATAAAAATAATTTCATATACAGAAGTGAAATTCATGCCTGCCATTTTCCTTAACGTAATTCCTGCAAAAAAAAAATACATATCAGATATAACTATGATAAAAAACGCGTTACAAACTATCAAAAATAAACTTTAAAAAATAAAAAATGCTAAAATACACTAACCTTTAATTAACTCCGGTTCCACAATGCAAACTTTTACAGGGCACTTTGTAAAAGCCACACTTCAAAAAACTCAACACACTGCGCGGTTAAAAACAGTACATGAATCAACCCACATGGGTTGTCATAATGAGATAACATCTCATTATGACACCCACATGGGCTGGAGCTGCCATTGAAATGACAGCCCAAATGGGTTGTCATCTCGGCGCCAGCCCATAGGGCTGTCAGCCGGGCTAACAGCCCATACGGGACTGTCAGCCGGGCTGACATCGCACATGGGCTGTCAGCCGTGACAACGCATGGGTTGTCATCTCAGGGCTGACAGCCCATGTGAATTTAATTATGATAGAATTTAAATTTGTTTGGATGCATTACACATCTTGGACTATAAATTGTTCCCTTTGCATTCCTGAATTTCAACAAGATATTTAATCATGTTAATTACATGTTGTATTTTTCTAAATTTCGGAGTTGTAAATTTCTATTTTTTTATTGGAAATTTCTCAAAATGTTTGAAATTTTATCACACCCTGATACAACGGTGGATAATGTTGAATATCATGCAATTAAATCTCGCGAATGCCTATAAACCCGAGAGATGAGAGTTTTGAGCGATTCGGAAGGGAAAGGTTCTTTCGCCATTGCTATCCTTTTGTTCGTTGGGTTTGAGGTTAGAGCAAGTGCTTGTGATTACAATCACAATCGAGTGCTCTTGTTATGCACGGAATTGTTGGATTTGCGGTGAATTTCGACGTAATTATCCTAAATTTTTAATACAACCACTTCTTAATTTTTTTTTCTATAACTCTCACTTTACATTGCTAGGTTGTTGTTACGCTGACAAAATGCACCTCAATCAAAGTTTCATTGACAACGAGGGGTAGTTCTTTTGTCAGAACAGCAGCCTGACATTTCTGCAGACATACTCCTTCAATTCAAAATCCACGAGGGACATTATTTATTCGTCGGGGACAGCAACCTCACAATTCCCATACATACTCCTTCAATTCAAAGCCCGAATGGGATATTATTCATTCGTGGCGTCGCCCACATGTTATAAGCTGACAAGTAATACGCTCCCACATGGGTTTGCCTTTGTGAAATTTGTAACGAATATTTGTTTATTTATGCAAAATAATATTCAATGTGTAATATTAGTCTTTCAAAAGCTATGCAATTTTATATTCCAAACTATGTAATTTGTAATCATTTATTATATGATTTATATATGCCATGTAATCGACAATTTTTTTTATTAACATTACGCATAAAATTTTAATTAAATACAATATCATGAAACGTGCATATACAAAATTTTATACTTTGTTTTTTACGACTTTCTTAAAAACCACAAATTAGATGCATATATTATGTTGCAGTTATATACTACAAACGCCCTCAAAATTCTTGTTCTGTATTGTGTCCTCAAATTAAATTTCGTAATGTGTAGTTTAATACACACATAAATTCCAATCACAACTCTAGTCTACTCTACTCAACTTCAAAAAAAGTATAAATATGTAAATGTAGACTATCGGATACTAACACGCGCATTAGAGTCGCAAAATTTAGAAAAATATTATGTGCCCAGAAAAAAGGGATGTATGTAGCAAAACATTAGAATAATATCCGACCCGCCATGGACATAAACGCGTTTGGGAAATGCGTTTTTCGAAAAACGCATTTTCCAAACGCGTTTATGACGCCGGCGATGAAGAAATACCATAGCCGCATTTGGGAAATGTGGCTATCGTATAACATACGAGAGCCGCATTTCTCATACGCGGCTATGTCTATACGGCAACCGCATTTGGGAAATGCGGATGTCGTATATTATACGACAACCGCATTTCCCAAATGCGGTTGTCCGTAAACTATGAAAGCCCGCCACACGAGTTTGGGAAATGCGGTTTTGACCACAACCGCGTTTCCCAAACTCGTTTTTCCCATTCTTGTCCAAAAAAATTTGACCTCCCATTATTGTCCACAAACACTTCCCAATGTCCATGTTCAATTACTATCAGCTTAATTAAGCATTTAGTTTAAATGGAACATATGTTTCAATTGCCAACCCTCAAATGTGATGAGTTTGAAATACATTTCTCGTCCTTAAGCTATAATTGATTAACTGACCTAAGGTAGTATGGAAACAAAAATAATAACTAAATTGAAATACACAAGCAAACTATGACAGTGACTAAAAAAAAAAAAAGATTCGAAAATCCTAAAAACTAAACAAAATATATTGCAAATTATTAGCAACATAGCAGGACATGACAATGACTAGTAAAAATATAAAGAATTTGGAAATTGGGTAACCGTTGTTTAAAAATATAAATTTGTAATCATAAGGTTACGAATTTTAATCTTAATCAAACCGAATTTGTTCAATGCACACACTCAAATAATAATTTTCAAAAAATTCACCACAATTAATGAACTTACTATAAGAATGAGGTGGGTTCGAACTCACAACTTTTCAAATAGAAGTCCAACCCAGGTACCATTAGACCACATAGGCTCACACTTCCTTTATATATATATATATATATATATATATATATATATATATGGGGACACGTTAAACTCTTCTTGGTATGTACTGTCGGCGTGTATATAACAACAAAGAAAAAGCTCCATCATACATTACAAAATGAAAAATCAAATAAAATAACTTAAAAAAGAAAAACCAAATACAATATACTTGAAAAATGAAAAATCAATGCAACAGTATAGAAGTGTCATCATACATTCCCCTTAAAGCATATCAAGATGTTAAATCTAAGAACTAAAATGTCAGAAAATGATTTTTTTTTTTTTTAAAAAAAAAATAAATAAATCACAAAATAATGAAGGATGCTCTTCCTTCTTGTTTGAGGGAATAAGAAATTAAGAAGTGAAAATTACAAAATTATCCCTATTATTTTAGACTTCATAAATTTTTAATTTCATCTTGATGTGAACAAAAAAAAAAAAAAGTCACCTTTGTAACAATTGATGGATGAAAAATAATTATGGGAGCAATTCAATGACTGAATCGTTTGAATCGGTCATTATGCTTATAATTCAAGGACTAAAAAACTATTTTCTCAAACAAAAAAGTTAAGATTTGATTTAATATACAAGTAAAAAATGATTTGGTGTTCTGAGAAGTTTTGGATCTAAAGCATTAGTCTAATTAACCTGTAAAATAAATATGAAAAGGAACATGCTACACACCCATAATTTTACTTCTCACAAACAGTCACTACTTACTAAAGATAAAAGATTAAAATAGAAATTTAAAATTAAAATTAAATGAAAAAAAAAAATTAGCCTCTAGCATTTTACTATATCATGGAGTGATTCTTTTGTGAGTGACAACTGACAATTGTAAAGGTGCTTAGCATTTTTCATAAGACTAACATTTTCTTTTTGATGAAGGATAAAGTGACTTCCTTACCATTTGTAATCCTGCATGGAGGGGCACCTGACGATCAAAATTCAAAAACAAAAGAACCTGAAAAAGGCAGAAATAGAGTCCCCAGTGCATGAAATTTTACATGTTTAGAAGGGGAATAAGGGAGAGAACTTACTAACCCACAGCTCTGAAAACCAAAGATAAGAAATACGAAAAACTACTACATTTTGTATTAGCTTTCAATCTCAACAATAATACATTGCTCCATATAGAGAGCATTGGCGTATCTCGTAACACAAACACGTAGAGTAGAGTAGAAACTTTGACGAGAAGCAAAAAGAATCCCGGGGAAACAAAATGATCATCTGATGCACACCATGTGGGCAGGCAATCAAATGTGACATTGATGCATGGGATGATTGGGAACAATCCTATTCTGCACCAACCTATCACTTCAACTGTGATGAGTTGCGCCCATGCCGCCTTTTACATTGACATCAATATACAGCCAAGTGTATATTTTACTTTATCATTCAACTCAGCAGCTAGAGGGGTCTCCACTCTCCAGTATCGAGTTGCAAGATCCAACACCAACAAGGGAAATAGGTGGTCATGCACGAGCTGTTATATCTCTCTCTTAATTGTGCGTGCATAACATCTACCATTCTAGCAGTAGTCCGAAAAGTCCCCTCAAAGCTAATGAATGAATGATGTATCTAAAAAAGCTCCTCTGAATTAAATTTGTTCCATGCTTCCTATTCAAGATAGGACACTAAAAATTAGCCCAGTCCACTATAGCAGTAAGATTAGTAATGTAGGACAATAATTTGTACCTTAAGAAGGTCAAACACCTTCTCAGCAATATATTTCTGCTGCAGAGTGGCACCCTTTTGCTGCACCTTATCAGGATGGATACAAAGCGTAGCCTTTCTATATGCTTTTTTGACAGAGGCACCGGTAATCAAATCTGTCAAAGAAACAGGCTGCCAACCACATTCAGGCCAAAGCACCTGATGATTCATGAATGGAAAATGTTAGATCCAGACACCAATCAAACTCAGATCTCAATAATACATCAGTATAATACCCCCTATGCCCTATAAATCCTTTTAGTCTTAACACTATAACGTGTTCTTGGGATTACAGAATAAAGTTTATTACCTCATGCCTAAGCCAGCAGTGCCAACTACTAAGTGGTCACAGAGAAGATTGCAGAGTATTAAAAGGACTGAAACTTAATCAACAAAAAGCAGAAACTAAAGATAATATCTAACAACATAAGTCCATTTTGAAATGAAGATATAAAATCTTTAGAAGAATTGAAATTGCTAATTCTTGAATGGCAATGTAGTTTAGAGTTTGTCTTAGATTCACTCTTCTTTTTCAGGAGGTGGTAAATTTCACAGATAGAATATGGAGAAATTCTGATTAGCAACCAAACGTACATATTGCAATGTTGAAAGAAGTGCACGCAGATTTCCTTCCTTCCCAGCAGCCCATCTCTTGATTTCAGTATCCAAAGTCTCGGCAATTCTCTGTACGCAGATCAAGCCAGTCAGACAGATAACATAAAAGCTTGAATGACATAAGCAAGACATGCAAGAAGACAACTCAGATTCTTAATTAGCCACCGACTTGGGGCATATCCATCCTCCAGTATATGTATGCACTGTTAGCCAGAGTTTCCTGGCAATGTTTAACTCTGATCTAAATCTTTCTTCTGAACACACAAATTCCTAAAAATTTAATACCACTGAGGCACTGCTAGCTAAGGCCATATGCATGACCGCCTTCTACCTAATCCATTTTTTCATTTCTGGTTTAGAGGGATGAATAATGTAACATGGCATGGCCATCAAAAGGTTAAATAGTTGCATATTGTCCATGAAAAAGGTACTTACATGTCTTTCTTCCTGATCCCTTTGGACTTGAAGATCACGTTGATTCTTTTCTGCCAAGGCCTTAGCCTGAACATAATTTCAAACTTATCATCATATACCATAAAAAATTAAAAAAATAAAAACACTTTGCAAGGCAGTCTCAAAGCTATATCCAACATAACATATGGGCCTGAACAAGCAAAAGCAAATAAAGCATGAGAATATACCGCTCGCTCCTGGGTGCGTTGATGGCGCTCCAATCTAGCTCTTCTTCTATCATCACTTTCCCCTTCAACCTCCTGAAACTCTCCAGATGATGGAGCAGCTTTCCAAGAAAAAAGTTTCAGTCAGCAGTAAACCATGGCATAGCTTTAGTAGCAAATAAGTTACATATCTTATAAGTAAAAGCAAAACAAAGAAATACCTCCAAAAATTGAAGATAGATCATCCACAATATTAGTAGTTGACGATGCTTTCCTCATGTTAGAGGTGGCTCCACTAAATGAAGATGTTGCTTTTGCCCCTTCAGAGCCTCCCTTGTTCTGAAATTGCATGTCAAACATAGTATCCTGGAAATAGCAATGATGAAACATAATAACTCTGCAGCGTGAAATAACATACTTGAAATTTAACAAGGCCATCAGTATATCATTATGTTATAATTTGTACTCACAGGAGAACTTGCCCTTGGCCTTGGAGCACTGCTTGCTCGAGAACCCATACAAAAGAATGATTCAAGATCATTATCATTCTTTTGTTGGTTCACCCTTGATGCAGCAGCAGCCCTTTCTCGAGCCTCAGCAGCAGCTCTCTCACGAGCCTCTGCAGCAGCCCTTTCTACAGCAGCTTTTTCCGCCCGCCGACGTGCCTCAGCCTCAGCCTTGGCAGCAGCAGCTTTTTCTTGTACTTCTCTTTCTCTCGCTTCTGCATTTGCTCTTTCCCTTGCTTCTGCAGCAGCTCTTTCACGGGCTTCTGCTTGTGCTCTCTGAACTGCAGCCCTTTCAGCTCGCTCTCGAGCTTCAGCAGCTGCCTTCTCCACAGCAGCTCTTTCAGCTTTCATACGAGCATCAGCAACAGCTCTTTCACGTGCCTCAGCTGCTGCCCTTTCACGTGCTTCCCTTGTAGCCCTATCTACAACCTGCCTAGCCCGTTCCCTCTCCCTTTCAAGTCTCCTCTGTTCCCTCTCTTCCTCTTCCTTTACGCGCTGACGCCGTTCACGCTCTAACTTCTCTTGGTCTTCCTTGAATTCTCTGTCTTGCATCTCATGAATGTCCTGTTCATCCTTATCTAACTGCACATTAGTTCTAGCTGCCTTTGCATATTCTCTTTCCCGAACTTCCTTTGCACGCCTAAATTTAGCCTCTGCTCTGTCCATAGCCTCCTTCATTGCAGCAGCAGATGCAGCAGCAACAGAGTTAGTATTCATTTCTTCACCAGCAAGAGCACTGGCAGTTCCGTCAACACTGTTCTGAGTCCTACCCACGAAAAATTCCTCAAGTTCATCCAGTTGTGAAACTGGAGAGCTCTTAGACGCAGCACGGGCAGTCTTAGGACTCTCAGAGTATTCACTGTAACTTGGTACTGATGAATAATCATCACCTCTCCATGGATGTGAAGCAAAGAAACCTGTCCCTGACTTAGCGGTCTGTCTTGGAATTGGAGGAGGGGGCCGAGATGGAGGTGGAGCACTTGTAGGTTGCGTGACAAGGGGAACCTCTGATACTGTAATCCAAATATCTTCTGAAGCCTGCACTTGTTCCTCTGATCTAGGAGTCAGATCTACCTGGGAACTGTTCTCATCACTATTTACACTTGCATACTGAGGATAAGGGGAAGAAGCAGCATCTTGGCTAAAAGATTTCTGAGAATCTGTTGCAGGTGCATCAAACAAAGACTGCGGAAAGCTGTCTCCATGAATGGTCTTGTGGGGATGTCTCTGAGAATTTCTGAAAGAAGATTCAGTGTTTTCTCTGACAGTAGATGTTTGCTTCTCACCCTTCCCTGATCTGTCCCTAGTAGGGCTCTCATTATTCCTTTTCTTATTCCTTTCAGGGGAAAATGGAGGCACTGATCTACCAAAACTATTGAGTGGATCCAATTCATCAAATGCACTACCCCAAACAGATGAAGAATCGACCTTTGCACTTCCAGATTTACCAGGCTTAGTGATGCCTTCCAATGGATCAGAGAATACCCCTGGGGAAGGGGCTGAAGATGTATCTAATACTCCAAAAGGGTCATCCATCGTGCTTGAAGTTCGATTGGAGTTCCCAGATAGTTTGGATGGTTGATTTGACTCTGTAAATGGCCTGCATGGAACAAAATGTTGATTGTTCATTAGTTTATTTGATATCCAAATTATATGGTCAAGAAAAACTAGAAGGGATATCATTGCTTCAAATAAAATTCAAGGTGTGACAAGATATAGTATGGCTTATGGCAAGAAAAGCTTATTCATACTTCCCAATACCCAATACCGGCTCACTTGATCCAGTCAATCTTGAGATGCTTCTGGTACCCACCACAGTTTCAGTTCCACCCTATACCTCCTATGGAAAGTATCTCCATACAAACAATTGCCCCTTTAAGTTGTGGTTTTTATTTGTAATTCACATTCATGCTATGTTTGAGTTTTAGCAAAATTTTCAGAAACATTGCGTTAGAGAGAAGGATATCAGTGGTTGATGGTTTACACTGAATGAGAACTTTTACAGCATCAAATTTCCTTATGGCTTATCAAACGATGTTTTCTTTTTCTTCTATATATGGCCCTCCTAAATGAAAAAGAAAACATTGTTTGATAAGAAAAAAATGCCACATCACAGAGGATGGGAGAGTGCAGATATGATGCTTCATTTAACCAATGCTACACCATTTACTTCTCCAGTGTGTATCAACATAAAAACTTTGATCCAATCTGAATCCATGTTTTAACTGCCCCATTACACCCATTCATCAACCCAGCACACAGGGCAGTTGATAAAGTAATGTGATATCTTTTCGGTAACATTGTATATACTGTCCACATGTTGCCACAATTGAACAATGTGAATTCAAATTACGAATAACATCAAATGCTATACATTGAACAATCACAAGTTTACAAAAGCTCATTTACTCCTAATATCTTAAAATGACACCATCGTTGAGAGATACCTGTTAGTACTGGCAGGATTACCACTCCCAAAACCAGCTAGCAAATCATCGAACCCTCTTGAATTTGAACTCTTACTACTCTTGGCTTCAGTCACCTTCTCATTCTTCCCAAAATTCCCTAGCAGATCATCAAACTGGTCAGTATTATGATTCTTTTTTGGCTGCGAAGCCACAGAGGCAAACACATCATCGTCAAACCTAGGCGTTGACGAAGACACTGATTTGCTCTTGAGTCCACCAGGCATTCCATCAAAAATATCATCATCATAGACTGGCTTATCGTATACCGGCAAAGATGACTTCTTGCTGTTATTTTTCTTTGAATCATTGCCAGATTTGAAAATGGAATCGTAATCGAAATTATTCATCATCGTCGAGGCCTTATTGTTGGTATTGGAATTGGTATACTTTGGCGGGCCACCAAAGACATCGTCGAACACTGGACCCTCGCGATCGTCGAAGAACGCTGAGGACCGGGCGGAGGCAGAGCGGCGATCTCCGCCGTCGGATCTCATGGGTGCCGATTTGCCACCAGGTCGGAGGCCGTAGTCTCGCGCCAACACGTCCAGTTCATCCATTGCAGAGACTGTTCAAATTGCTGCAGATCTTAGCCCGAATCCCCCTCGGAAGCAGGGAAAAGATCTCTGTTATGGATCTAAAAATTAGAACGGATTGTAAGGGCAAAATCTTCCAATTGAATCAAACTGAGCAGGCAATTGTGGCTGAATGATCAAAGATTATTATTCCATATATGAATATGATATGAACACAACGGATTAATGGCAATATATGTATGTATATAGATATATGTGTGCATATAGCTTGATACAGATAATAGGAAGATGGAGAAATGTTGATTAGGGTTTGAAGGGGAAGGAAGATGAGTTGATTTCTTGTCTTCTCTTTTTCTCTGTTTCCTGTCTTCGTCTTCCTTGCTCCACCTCCGTAGCCTGTTCTTCTTTCTGTCTCGCTCACTCTCGGCTACTTGTTTTTTTTTTTCTTCTTCTTAAATTTAATCTCAATAATTTAATTATAGCCTAATATTTTATATTATATTCATATTAAATGTAGCATTGCTTAAGGTTTTTTTTTTATTCTTCCTTTCTCTATTTATTATATTATTATATAATTATTATATAATTGGATCCAAGGGCGTTGATTTAGTGGATTAGAAGTTTCACTTAAGACATGTTTCGATGAACCATGGACTCTCTCAAGTTTAATTTCCCTCTCAGGTACATGAAATCGTCTTTCTGATTCAACTCTTTACCATTGATGATTCTGACACCAACCACCACACAATGCATCCTCTGTAGCACTTCCATGTCTGGTTTTTCGAGCCTGCGGCTCACTACCAACCCTACTATCCTCCAATTGCAAAACATGCATGTTCCACACAGGCATCAAGAGAAAATGTGTTTTCTGCAACCCCGCTCTCCAATGCAATCCTCAACACGTCATCATGCACTTTTTGGGGCTAGTTTTCTTCATCAGTATCTTCTCCGGTAAAGGTGCAATTGCAGGTTGGAATAAGGAACTCCATGATGGTTCGGAGAAGCTACCATGACCAAACCTACTTTAGACAATCCACGACGTAACTCCACAAGAAATATTGGTAGCAGTATTGGCCAACGAATAGACTTAATCATTTTTCTATATATGTATGATGAAAATAATCAAATAAAGACATAGCCTATGTTGTGGAAGGTGGAGGCGGTTTATATATTATTTTATTATTGTACCACTAAAAAAATTATCTACTTAGGGCATCTACAATAGAGATTTTGATGTGGTTTTTGAGGAGATTTTGGCTGAAGTGGAGGAGAGAGAACAAGGAGAGGGAAGGATTAAGAGCTTCTTACAAGAACCTGGTTTTTTATCTCTGAAGTGGGCCCCATCAAATATGAAAAAAGTACTCCATTGGTCACGTGAGGTGCAACAACAACGCCCACTCGGGTGCATCTAGAGCTTTTTTTTTTTTTTTTAAGATTATGTTTTGTTTTGTTTTTCTTTTTTCCTATCCCTCCCATTTTCTCTTTCCTACTTGGATTCTAAAATTTTGTGCAAAAACTAGTGTTATTGAGGACTTCTCGACTGCTTATGATGCTTTCGCATAATGGTGTATGGGTAATCCGCTTTGAAGTGGCCAGGTTTCTAGCAGTTGTAGCATAAGCTTTGCAGCTCTTCGAGATATTTGACCTCTCGGAGTGTCTTCGATTTGAGGAAAATGAAGAGGATGTGCTTCCTTGAATGTTGTTCTTCCTCATAAACCTTTTAAATTTCCTAACAAACATAGCGGTTAGAGTTTGACCTTGAAGACGTTAATGGTTGTTGGTGAGCAACCAGGGCAGCACTCTTCGGTTCATCATCTACACATCTCGGTTCCCACTTGAATTCGTAGGCCTTTAGATCGTTGAATATTTGTGAAGTATGGATGACCTTGAGGTCTTCGGTGGTCTCTCTTCGCGATAACCATCATTTCCCAAGATTTGGGTAGCCCTCGGAAAACTTTCAAGTTTATCTCCGATCCTCCTGAGTTAGCACCTTCCCTAGGTCTATTATTTCACTCAACAACTTCAAGAATCTGCTTTCCATCTCGGTTATGGTCTTGCCATTGACGACAAATTATGCTGTGGAACCGTGTCCACCTTGCAAAGTGGACATAGTTCCAAAACTATTCATAATTATGAATATATAGTTCAAAAATTATGAACATATAGTTCTATAATTATGAACATAGAGTTGTGAACATAATTATGAACACATAGTTTTGTAATTATAAATATAGAGATTCAATAATTGTGAATATGAAGTTCAAAAATTATGAATATATAGCTTTATAATTATGAACATATAGTTCAGTAATTATGAACATAGAACCCTGTCCACCTTGTAAGGTGGACACAATTCCACAACATAACGATTGGCCATTGACCATCCGAAGGTCGTCGAACTTCTTAGTGGCGATTGTCAATTTGTTTTCCTTTTCTTACTCATTCCCTTCTCCAATGAGCATAAGTTCATTCCAAATATCTTAAGCAGTCTTGCATTTTCTAATCCTTGGAAAGATGGTATCATCAACCGTCTTGAATAATATGTCATTTGCTATATTATCTAAATTGTTTAATTTATCGCTCTATCCTCAGACATCCAGGCTTGTCAAGGCTTAGGAATGTATTCGGGGGCGTCTGGTCTTTGTGCAGCAGCATTCGCATTGACCATCATTATTTGTACTAGCCCCTCGGTTATGACTTCCCACATCTCGTCATGTAGGGCCGAAAAGTGAGCCTACATCCGCACCTTTCAATTGTAAAATTTATTAAGATTAAACATAAGATGCTTAGATGTATAATGATCCATATTTTTACCAAAGTTTACGTGCAATTAAAGGATTTCGCTTTTAGAAAGGAGATCATCAGGCAGTATACACAGAGTGTTTACCGTTCATGGTAACTGCTTTGATACCACTTGTTAGTCCTAGAGGGTTGGGTACAAGTCTAGAGGGGGGGGGGGGTGGTGAATAGACTTGTAGGGTAAAAAAATGTAATGATTCGTTAGAGTGGTCCGAAAGGTCACTTCAACAATTCGTTGAGAATACACAGTGGAAATATTTTTAACCTTTTTAAGCGGTTTTGCACGTAAATGAGTAATATTTTTTTTTTAAAGTTTATAAATTTTGATCGTGTTAGAGTATGAAATATATGCAGTAAAAGATCAAAAGTGAGAGAGTGAGAGATTTTGATAGTGGTTCGGTCAACTCAACCTACTCCACTTTTTTCCTTAAACTCCCAAGAAGGTGTGCACTATCCCTCAGTACAAAAAGAACATTCAAGCCTTGAACACAAAGCCGGTCTTGAACTTCTCAGGTTTTTCAACTCCACACCGAGTTTACTCCGCCTCTTTCTACTTCTATCAAGTAGAATTACAATGGTTTAAAGAAAATAATTATTCTATCTCCAACAAGAAAGTTTGGCTTTGAATGATAGACTTGATCTTCTCTTTTATGCAGCTCAAGCTTCTAAATCTGGATATAGCTTTGTAGCTTTGTCTCTCTCCCTGGTCACATTTAATTTTAGTCTTGCTAAGAACACTTGAATGCTTGTAAGATTTCTCTTAGAAATGACTAGCACATTCTTAAGTCTTTAATGGAGGTATTTATAGACATTTTGAAAAGGATTCGTTAGAGGAAAACCTATTTCAAATGTCTATTACCCAGTGAGTAGTGACCAACGGATTTTCTGGAAAGTTACTTTTGTGTGTCAGACTTTTCAGCCATTAGACTACCTATTTGTGTTGAACATATCTTTTTGTTCTGCACAAACTATCTAGGTTTTTTAAGGAAAATCTTCCTTAGAATGCGTAATTAGGACTCTCTTTGCCTTTGTCCCATTTTACCATAAAGTATTAGTGTTTTAAGGTTTCGAACTGTTAGAGAATATCTCGAGAAGTTCTTCGAATAGTTAACTTGCACTATTCGAGTTAACGTTTGGAATCTTAACACTTTATAGTCTTTCGGTTATGGATAGTTGTCTTTACCATTCGTTCATTCTTAGTTCTCCTTTTTACTCGAAAAGTAGGTCCTTTCACCATTCGCCATTTGCAACTTTTCGGTCTTGAAATCTTAAACTCTTATAATCTTCGTCTCTAACCCTTCTGATCATTCATTCTTCGAAGCTAGTCTCTTGACTATCCAAAACCTAAGTACTTGGTTTAGCATTCAGAATGTTCGAAATTGATAATAAAGTTTCTAAGTTGATATAAGTGTCAAAATATGCTAATTTCTAAGGTCATTGTGAAGGCAATTTGTGTGTAGTTTGATCATTTTTGTGCGTGGTTTATGAGTAAAAAGCAAAAAAAAAAAAAAAAATGCAATTGTGCATTGCAAAACCCTATAATCTGTACATTTTAGTGTTTTTGATGATTTTTGAACAAAAAGGGTGGTAAAGGAGCTCAAAACGGACGCATTCAGAAGAGCGCGGGAGAAGGACCAGATCACGCCGGCATCACTCGCGTGACACCGGTGTGGATATGTTTGGGAACTCAATCACGCCGGTGTCACTCGCGTGACGCCAGCGTGAATAGGTTCTGGAACCCAATCATGTTGCCGTCACGCACGTGACGACGGCATGGATGAGGCTGCGAAGGCTTGGCGCGATTTTTTTCTTTAAATAGGAGGATTTTTATATATTTTAAAGTTAGTTTTTAGTTTTGAGATTCATTTTTCAGATCTTGTATTTCTCTCTCTAGAATTAGCTCTCAACTCTCCCACCTTGTAAGAAGAAGAAGAAGGATGTTTCCAAGCAAAAGAGTGAAAACTTTGTGAAGGAGCTTGATTCTACTTCCAATTGATCATTGTAATCTAGACAACTGAGGAATTAGTAATCTCTTTACATTTGTGTTTCAATTCTTACTTTGATCATGATGCATTTCTTCAATGTGTTGGGAATACAATGCAAGATCACGAGTAGCTAATTCCTAGGGCTAGGATTGTGTACGTGTTTAGTTGCAATGTGATTGATTAGTATGTTTTGATTTGCATTAATGGAGTGTTTGGATGATGTTTGTATGAATGTTTTGTTATGGAAGATGGTTTGTAATGTATTCTTGGAGTAGGGCCCAACTCCATGTATAATCTTGGAGTCCTAGGCTTAGGCAAGAGATTGCTAAGTCTAGGTGAGCCTATAAGTCTCTCCACATTTCCCGTCATAGATCCGAGAGGGCATAGCCCAGGAAGGAATGTAGGCCAAGTGTTCGATGAATTGCCTCGTAAGAAATATGGACACTCGGGTGCCATGTTGACCTACAGGAGGCGTAGATACCAAAAATGGGCTACGCAATCGCACACATTTCTCTTGAATTCATATGCATCATGCACACACTCCTAACCTCCCTTTGTTTACTAATTCACATTGTAACGCATGCACAATCCTAGACCGTTCTTTTGTATTGTTGTAATCTTTTGTGTACACTTCCTTGCCTACGCACCATTTTCGAATGCGCTCCTTAGATCAATGTTTGACAAGCTTGAAAACCTCTCAACATCACTTTCTTTAAGCTTCCAATTTATCAATTCATTGAGTACGACACTCGAGGCCTCACCGCTCCGTTTTATCTTTCTATCACACCAAATACGCACACCTCACAAAACGACACTTTCATAAGTCTAAAAGAGAAAATAAATTAGAGACTACAATTCCTATCTTTTGGTATCATCAAAATCTAAATTACAACTGTTTCTAACAATTTCCCTCTTTTTGATGGTGCCAAAACCTTTACCCACATTATAAGGTTGTCACAATTCGAATTGATAATACTATATTCAATTCAGCGCATAATAGAGTTTGATAGAATACTCCTAAGGAATTTAAGTGCTGAAGATTAAACACCACGCAACCCACACTAAAAACTTTTCATTAATATCTCAAAAAGAATTACAATAACATTTCAGTGGGTATAAAGCACTAAATAAATAACCATTACACAATATCTACTTGAAGAGCCTATTTTCTTCTTCTTTCCTCTTCATCTCTTCAAGTTCACTTCTCATTTTTTGCACTCATCTCATCAAGGGCAGCATTGATGGCTATTCTGATGCAATAAGCATTTCTAGGAACTTCATGAGATTGAAACAGACTTGCTGAAATCTCCATGTTCAAGTAGTTCTGAAATGCTTGTGAGATGTTTTCGCCTTCAAGTACTCCGCATCTAGTCCTAACTTTTAATGATCATCAAGTTTACATCCTTGAGCAATGGGCACTATCCTCTCAACTATTCGGCTTTCAACCGATATGAACCTTTCGTCAAATCTTTTTTGGCCTTCAGCTTCTTCAATTCTATGCTTTTTCTTGAGCATTATGATGTGTGCACATTAAGCATGTGTTGTGCGCAATATAGGGAATTGCTTAATATGAAAATATCATAATGCCTAATATGAACATGCCCGTTTTAAATCGCTCAATTAATCTCATCCATATATCTATTTTTTAATGGATGAAATTGGTTCTCATGGACTAATGGAAAAGTAATAGATGAACCATTCATTTCAACCAACAATTGAACCAACATTTTTTAGTTTCCGTTATAGGGCTAACTTTATTGGCTCTTATTAGATTAGTAGATTTTATAATACAAATGTAGTATTTTATAAGAATACTATAATAGACAACTTGTAGAAAATAAAGTGTCATTACATAGCAGAATTGCATGTATAATTAATATTTTAAGTCTTATATATAATACTTTATAGCAAAACTGTAATAAATAATTTGCAGAAAATAATATTACTAAACCTATATACCATAAGAATTGAACCAAATTTTCCTGATCTGACTCGTCTCACAAATTAAGACCCGTGAGACATTCTTCATGGAAAAATTTCCTAGAATTTAATAGAAAATTACATTTTTCATACAATAAAGCTCAAATTTGAATTACATTTTTTATCTTCACCAAATGTATCAAAATTGTGAATAATTTTATATGCTTCAGTCTATAATGAATTTCATGCAATGTAACTAGTTCGATATGAACAGATACTACAATGTAATAGGGCCAGTAACATTCAAAAAAAAAAAAAACTAGTTCGATATGTTCTATTAAATATGTTTATCTAAAAGTTAATAAGTTTGTGGATGGAATAGGTTCTTGCCTTGTCCATCAACACATATGATTATTAATTAACATTTAGTTCTTCTCGAAAACTTACTTGTTATCTTTAATTACTCAGTCTTTTAGTATCATTCTTTGTGAAATTCACTCGTTGCCTTTAATTACTTAAATGGTATACCTTTAAAAGTATGTTGTAAATGACGAATCGACAAAAAAATTGACAAATTTGTTTGAATTTATAATCAAATTACTAAATTAGCATTTGGTAAATAGTGAAGTATTGCCAAGATATTTAAAATAATAACTTTTTGGATTAACAAATTTTATTTATTTAGTTCAAAATAATATTTTGCTCACTATGTTATACTATTAATTTAATTTATATAATAATTAAAAGAGATCATTAATTTATATTTATATTAAATATAGAGTTAATTATCAAAATGGTTCATCGACTATAGCGAAAGTACCGATTTAGTCATCGACTTTTTTTTACCGATTCAGTCATCAACTATTTACCCTGATTCAATTTTTTACCAATTCAGTCATCAACTATTCAACTATTTAATGATATCTGATAGTCTTGTATATATTCAGGGCCACAATCCTTGCAGAAATCATGGAGACCAGGCCATTCAAGGATTCATTAATATTTATGAAGGATTCAATTCCTTTCCTGAAATATTCATGCCAATCGCAAAACTTTTGAATGAACTGGCAGCACAGAATCATATTACAGGAGAAAATCAAGAGTGTTATCCAACTAATTGAAAGGAAAGTTGAGGAAAATCACAGCTAGGCTGCGAAAACCTCTAAGAATGAGGAAGCAAAAGCCTGTGCCTAACAAGATGGTAAAAACCAAAATATATACTAACAGCAAGATCCTGCGTGGCATGAGCAATGCTTCTCTTACAAACATATAATTGCTTACTCAGGACAAGTATTGAGAAGTCTAAAGACTTTTTTTTTTTTTTTAGTACTATTGACCGGACAAATTATACTGTGGAACTGTGTCCACTTTACAAGGTAGATACAGTTCAAAAATTGTTCATAATTATAAATATATAATTCAAAAAAAAATTATGCACATATAGTTCTATAATTATGAACATAGTGTTGTGAACATAATTATGAACATATAGTTATGTAATTATGAATATAGAGATTCAATAATTGTGAATATGAAGTTCAAAAATTATGAATATATATCTTTATAATTATGAACATATAGTTCAGTAACTATGAACATAGAGTTCTGTAATTATGAATATAGAGTTCAATAATTATGAATATGAAGTCCAAAGATTATGAATATATAGCTTTATAATAATGAACATATAGTTCAGTAATTATGAACATAGAACTGTGTTTATAATTACAGAACTCTGTGTTTATAATTACAGAACTCTATGTTCATAATTATAAAGTTATATATTCATAATTTTTAAATTTCATATTCACAATTATTGAATTTCTATATTTATAATTACAAAACTATATGTTCATAATTATGTTCACAAATCTATGTTCATAATTATAGAACTATATATTCATAATTATGAATAGTTTTGGAATCGTGGTTCCACACCATAATTTGCCCTGATAAAGTGGTTCCACACCATAATTTTTATTCGTAGTATGTACTAATGTATTAGTTATCAAGAAATCAAGAATCAAAGAACACCATATATATATAAAAGAGTGGAGTTGAGAGAAAGTATAAAAATTTATGTAAAGTGTTCGCATGTTTAATTTGAGTCACCGTACAAAATCAATAATACAGTATTTTATTTCATTACTGAGTTATCCTTTATAAATAGATAAAGCCCGCTATATGTACCTCAATCTTTAATTCTTTTACCATTGCTCTTTTTTTCTTTTAATTTTGTTTGTTGTTCAAGCCTCCAAAAAACTTTGCTAATAAATTGATATGTGGTCCAATCAAAATAAAATTTGTATTATATATATGATGATCATGAGGAGTTTGTTTATCGTTTCTTAAGAATAAGTAATAAAAGTAAAGTAACGAAAGAGACTGGCATGGAAAATTTTTAAAAACAAAAAATATAATACTATCCTTAACTTCCTTAGTTAGTTATTCTATTTTACTTTTGTGTTTTTGTAAGCAAGAAGACAAGCTTCTCATATAATAATCCAAAAATGAAATAAATGATTATATTCTTCTTTGGTTCTTTTCCTTATAGTGAAGCAAATTCAATTAATTCTTCCACAAGATTTTATTCTCCATATTATATAAGAGTTACATTGTCATGATCAGAACTAATCCAAGTAAATCTTAATTATTCTCTTTTCAAAGAGCCAATTCTTCTCTTCTTATCTTACATACAAGACATGGCAACTCAACCCCTCCCTCCATCAAGAACAACAATTTCACAACTACAAATGACTCATGTTGAAGAGAAGATCATCATAGAACAAGTTAAGGATACACATAATCCGAATGGTGGCATAGATGTCGATGCAAATTGTCTTCTCAAGATTGTGGAAGACATTTTTAATTTCAATACGGTTTGTCAATATACTTGCATTAAGCTACTTTTAAATTTTGTTCTTCACAAATATACATATTTTATTAGCATTATTGTATATATATATATATATATATATATATATATATATAAGCACCTATAGTGTATAAATTTTTATAATACACTCACCTAAATACAATGTGTATATATACATAATATTAATCCATACTATTATTATCAATGTCACCAAGTAATTTTATGTTGAATTGTCATAGTTGAAAGAGAGATTTTGTAAATGGTCTTACAATTTATCTTAGAAATAGTTTCGTTCTTGATTTCATCACACTAGCTTTGTGTTAATGGAGTATGAGTTCAGGTTCCTCAAGAAGCAATGCAAGACAGGTTACAGTTACAAGAACACATCCAGAAGGATATTTCATTTGTTGTTTTACAACTCTCTTTCGTGGTATAATATATATAAATCCTCCATTCATCACCACAATTTTATATGAGTACAAATTGAATGATGACTTTTTTTCTTTTAAATTTCATTCTCATTTTTAGATAGCCTTCACTTGTGTAAGCTATGATGATAGTCACTCAACTGCCATTTATCTACTAAGTTTGTTGTCAAAGTATATGTGGCATGCTAAGGGAGTAATGTTACTCGCATGTTTTGCAATCATCCGAGGGAAATCTAAAGTTGTCTCACAACCATGTCATCGGAAAGGACTATCTTACAACATGGCTACTCTAAGAAATAGTCTAAACTCAATGATATCCTCAGACAATGAAATTGTTTTAAATGACTCAATAAGATCCATGTTTAATCTCACCGAGCTTATGGTTGAGCTTCGACATTCATCATCAATGTTTTTGACGAATTATTGGATCGCAAAAAGTGTTGTTGCCTGCGCTCACTTCCTTATGTTGGACCTCGAGTAAGACCACTTATTTAACTTTGTATAAATTAAATTACATATATTCTGACTTAATCTAATTTTTCAATAACCATTATAAATAATTAGTTGTAATATCTCATATAAATATCTATAAATCATTAATACAATATAAAGTTGAAAATTAGTATTTCAAAGCATTACTTTACATTGCACAACAACACGTGTAAATTGGGTTTAATTAACTATTTGTAAATAAGTATAGTGAAGATTGATTTATTGATATTTGTTTTTAATTAATTAATTAATTAGCCATATATGCTCTTATTCTTCAGGCCACAAAATCATATCATGATGGAACTGTCCAATGTATCCACCAAAATCAAAGAGATTCTGGCTTCCAGCCTCCCACTACTAGGTTGGCTTAATATTTTAGAGTTAATTTCACCAGTTCCTTATTTTTTGTGGCAATTCTAAATTTAGTCTCAGACTATTATTTTTGCTATTTTACATTTCAGACTATCATTTTTTGGACACTTTTGGTTCTTCTTATGATTTTTTCTATTTTTAGTAAGGACACGTCTCTTCATATTTTTTTTTTGTTATTTTTTTGATTTCAACCGGTTTAATTGATTTAGGACTTTACTAAAAATCGATTGAAAAATATGGTTACTAAAATAAGAGGTTACCTAAAGTCCTAAACCAATTAAACCGGTTGAAACTAAAAAAATAACAAAAGACAAATATGAAGTGACAAAAATGCCCTTACTAAAAATAGAAAAAATCATAAGGACCAAAAGTGTCCAAAAAACGATAGTATGAGATGTGAAATGGTAAAGACAATAGTCTGGGACTAAATTTAGAATTATTATAAAAAACAAGGGACCTCTGGTAGAATTAACTCTAATATTTTATTTTAATATTTAGCTACGAAATGAAATGTTTATGATTATAATTATATGAATATCATATAATTTCTAGTGCATATGAAGTTTTTATAAATTGACTGTAAAAGTTAAACTTTGTTATGCAAACAAATAATCCTTAATTTTTCTAATTAAAATGATTAATTAAATCCAAAATTATAGTACTTTGATTAAATAGATTTTACCAAAAATAATGAGATTAATTATTATTTTGTGTATGCAGAGGCAAAAAGGGCAGAAGAAAATTATCATGCATTGTTACATGCGTTTGATAATTCTTCAAATGTTTTGGACGTTCTTAAATTAATATTTAATATCAAAAATAATAAAGAGAAGCCAATTTGGTACCACCATTTGTTCAATGTATGTATAATAAGCATTTGTTCTTACTTATCTTATACTACACCTGATTTAATGACCTCCAAATATCTTTTATATTAGTATTTTCCAGGACCAAGGGGATTAGATGAGTTTGAAGGAGAGGGAGTGCTACTGCTAATATCATCCCACAAACACTTACCCTTTTATGCATATTTTGCGGCGCCCACAACAGCGAAGGTGATTTGGGTTCCAATTATAAATGATCTGGATGAGCATATACAAATGCCCGATGAATTCTCCTACAGATGTTATCTTGTATTGGATCCACAAAAATGGATTGCACCAGCATTTTTAAGATTTCTTAAAAATAAGTGCTTCCCAACTTTTCAAGTTGGGGGTGACCCTATTGTCATTTCATTGGACAAACATGGAAGATTGGTTCATTCTAATGCACTTCACATGATATTCACATGGGGAAATCAACTTTCTGAATGGACAATAATGGGATCAATAGGTGGTATAATTCCTTCATTAGAAAATGAGTTAAGGGAAAGGACTTTAGGTGCTGACCGTGTGATTGATGACATTGACAAACAAATACATAATTTTGCAATAGAAGTCCGCACCAAGGTCCATGATTGGATGAACGTTATCGAGAAGAAGATAAAAAGTTCGGTATGTCTATCTTATAATAAAACTATTACTCACTTATTATATGTACATGTATATCTTTATTTATTTAGAAAAAAATTTCACTAAATTTATACTTTTAGAATTCAACCATTTTATACAAATACAATAATATTTTATATATTCATCAGTTTCGTTCATACAATTACACGCGTGAGAGGGAACAAGAGCTTTGGCTTCAAGAATCTTGGAATCTTAAGCTTGTAGTAGGAGCGAGTAAGTACTTGGTGTACAAAAACAGGCTAACCGAGTGGGTAAGTAATGAGCCCTCAACTTGAATTCTAATTAATTAGTGGCAATTAACTACTGATCATTATTATGGGGTCCATAGTATCAAATAATATACATTTAATACATAAATAATGTTTTTTTTTTGAATACTAATACATAAATAATGTAATTTTAGTATATTAAAAATATACATGTTATTTCTTTAAAAAAATGTACATGCTATTAAAAAAAATATATTATTTGAGTACTGAAAGTACATTATTTTATATAATATACATTCAATATACGAATAATATACTTTTTGTTATGATTCACATAATGCTGTGTGAACCATCCTCCACAGAATAATTTGCCCTCACCAACTAAGCTAAGCTAAGCCTACTATATACTACAATTCAATTATCTTAGCTTGTACGTCTCCTCTTGCTTATAAGAAAATTACTACTCCGTATTCAATATTTAAAAAAAAAATAAAATAAATGAACATTCAATTAAGCATTATTTAAACATTATATTGGTCTATGTATATATATTTTTTTTTTGAACAGATTTATGATGATGAAAAGTACACTCTTTTATGCGGAGGGAATAAAATTAAACAAGTTCAAAAATTTGTACTTAAGGTACAAGAAATTCGTTCCAAATTTCAAATGGATATAGAAGTTGTTTACATTGGAAGAAGAGGAAAAATGATTGATGAAGATGGGAGCAGTGCATGTGATGATGTATTTGACCTTGATGATTTTAAGATATTTTGGGCTCAACTTTATGGCATGGCCTCATCTAGGATCCAATATTTAAATAAAGTTGGACTTGATGAAAGGAGTGATGAAATTTTGCAAGGACTCAGAAAATTATTATCTTATGAAGATGAATGTACAACAATTGGATCATGGGCTTTGTTGAGCAAAGGGAAAAGAATAATTGGATGTGATATGGGAGACAAAATGTTAGAAGTGTTGAATGAGTATGAGAAATGGAAGAACAATGCACATGCCAATGATTTTGAACAAGCATTCAAGGATTACTATGAGATGCTTAATACTTCTTCTTCTTCATCTTCTTCCAATCAACACTCTTATTATTGTGCTCTCAATCACCCATCTAATTTGGACAAAATTTCAGAGACGGTGTCATGCCCTCAATGTAACCACAATATGCATAAATTTGTCACTTTTTCATGTTGTCATGATCCGCCTGATTATTTATACTACTAGAGTTTGTGTTCTACTTGCACTGGTTGTTAGAGTTGTTGTAGTAGTCTACATGCATGTATTATGTTTGTACTTGTACATTCATGGTTGTAATATTATTCATTGAATATACATACAAATTAAACCTTTAATTTGTTCACGTTTTCAATTTGGTGGGATTTTTAACTTCCACATTTTTGCCCATTTATCAAATGCACATGGGCTATCATAAAAGTCCCCCATAATATTCCTATAGGCATTTTTAACCGTATAAATTTCATTTGGATCTCCCTTCCAATACCAAGAGTCTTCGTAGGTCGGGCTTACTAGAATTTTAGTGATCCGGTTTCCATTAGTTCCTTTGTTATTTGCTCCCATTTTTTAATTTTCATAGCTTTTTTGGGATTTTAACTTTTGTATTTAGGTGTATGCGCATCAAGAACGTAAAGGGAAAGAGCATGTGCTGAACGTGCAACTAGTTGGCTCACTACCACAGTCCGAATTGTCCCAAAATGTAGAATATAGAGTTGTAATTTCATTTTTTTCACTTGAACCATTACTGTAAACAAAATGTATTTTTTTATCCGTTGAATAAAATAACCGCCCTAACATTATGATTTTAAAATCAACAAGTGAATTGGTATTTAGGTTACCCATGTGCATGTATGTGTGGTAGTCTTTGCATAAAACAAATCCGACAGCGTACATGGCCCACCCTGTGCGACTGCACACACACGCACACACATCCCATTACATTCAGGTCGGCCAACCAAACAACCCAAATAAAAACCGAACAACCAATAACCTCAACTTACGCACACGATATGCACATACTCATGTTCGTCTACGCACCCTCCACCAAATCTAACATCATTCTAAGTTGTTATCAAAATTCATGACGTTCTACACTTTCATAAATCTGTACCACACGCACACACATCCCATTACATGTAGGTCGGCCAACCAAACACCCAAAAAAAAAAAACAAAAAAAAAACAAAAAAAAAAAAAAAACCTCAACATACACACACGCTATGCACATACTCATGTATGTCTATGCATCCCCCCTACATATGCACACACCAATACATGCATGCATACAACCACAGCGATATGCACAGACTAATGGCCGTCTACGCACATAGCAGTGCACGAAGATCCATACGCATCATATTATTATTTAATAATAGCTCCTTTTTATAGTATAATGCAATCACCAACATACAATGACGCACACAGCATAATTACAAATACAAAACAATTTCAAAGTTCGTGCAACCATGGGTGCCAACAGAAAACTAACCTAAATCGAAAACATACAACCCACTCAAAACAAGTAGTACGCACTTACTTCTATACACTAATGCACACGCCGACACATAATTGTTAGTCCGTCCAACTCCACCCCCACCCACCCACCCCAAAAAAAAAAACACACACACAATCATCATCATATGCACACGCAAGAACACGTAAATGCACATACTTGTGCTGCTACAAACCATATCTGAAGTGTGCTTCGTCGTTGTTTCTACAATCCCACCCGTTCGTTTTCACCCCAACTCTTGTTCACGCGATATTCAGATCAACAACGTTTGTAAATAATTTAAAGTATTGATTTCCATTCATAATCTCCCTAATATAATGCTTAAGATTCCAATTCAATTATATCCATAATTAAACATAGAACTACAATTACTATTCAATCCTTTTAATTGCGGGTGGACTCACATTAAGCATTACATTGGCGCACTTTAAGTACACAACAAACGCACATTAAACACAAACAAAATATATTCAGAACACAAATTCACGCACCTTAAGTACAAAACTCACGCACCTTAAGCACAACCCTCACACACCTTAAGCACAAAACTCACAAACATTAAACACAAAAACGCACGCACCTTAAGTTTTAACAACAACTCACATTAAGTACAAAACTCACGCACATTAAGTACAAAACTCACGCACCTTAAGCACAAGACTCACGCACCTTGAGCACAAAACTCACGCACATTAAGCACAAAACTCATGCACTTTTGATAGGATATACGTCCGATCGCTCGGTTCCAACTACCGACCGACGTTTCGCGTTGCTTATCACTAGTCCATCCTGCCCCGACCCGTCAGCCTTCTCCCGATCGGCTCTGTTTGACCGACCGATTACTCTTGTTCGCTTGTGCGTATCCGCATTACTCCAATCCACGTGTCAACAACAGTGGATGCCAGAAGAACAGTTCTTAGCTAAAGACACGTATGTGCAACGTGGTCATCATGCCGGTAGCCCGGTTTGTGTTCCCCCCTTCGTGCCTATAAGTAGCTGTAGTCACAGTAGCAAGGGGGGACTTTTGGACAGAGAGGAGGAGACCCTTGAGAGCTTCCCGATTGCCACTTGGTCAGGCTTAGAGTTAGGTCGTCCTACTGATCTGTGTATTAGTACTATCAAATTTAAAGTTTCAACAACAACTCACATTAAGTACACACTCACACACATTAAGCACACAACGCATGCACGCACCTTAGGCACAAGACTCACACACATTAAGCACTACACACTCACGCACATTAAGCACAAACCTCACGCACCTTAAGCACAAGACTCATGCACATTAAGTACAAAACTCACGCACATTAATCATCCGCACAACCGCACGGGAAGCATTCACCCGCACTGAAAGTTATATATATATATATATATATATATATATATATATATATATATATATATATATATATATATATATATATATATTATTTATTTATATAAGGTGATGTTATAATGAAAACTTCTCATTCCACGAGAACTTGTACATAAATGCATATAAGCATCTACATAAATGCACAATTTTGTGCACAATGCACAAAATCTTTCTTCGAATAGTTTGTGTGCATTTATATAGACAATTGTGTACATTCATGTTAGTTTACACGTTCTCACACGAAGAATAGTTCTTATTTGATCATTAATCTATATATTAAAAGAAATAAAACCTTTTTTAATGTCTAAAACACTAATTATTAAAATTTACCTTTCCCTTGTTACTAATATTTGTTTATTACACTGGAATAATTTAGTTTCACGTAAAATTGCATTAATCTCTTATGAAATTTTGGTTCCCTACATGTTCTTATTTCAAACTACTCAGTGCTCGATAATAACTGAATCGAATTTGAACCCGAATAACTCACAAATATGACTCACACAGAACATGTGTTGACTTAGTTAAGCAACACAACTATAATATCTAAACATCTTTTCCAATTTCTCAGATTTGCAAAATCTTTAAAGATCATTTTCATCCAGTTGCTTGTATGCTGCCTATATATTTCTCTACGTAATAATAATACAGTAATATAATACGCTAATTCCAGTTCTTACATGGATGTACAAAACCTAGCATGCTACTTGCGAGAAGAGATGGAGTGGTGACCACCCGAGGACGCTATCCCATTGCTTGCAGAATTATCGTCAGTTTTTACCCTCCGATAGAACAAAACGTAAGCAGCAGCAGACTTCACGTCTTCTTCATTGATTGGAGATATGTGGCTGTCATCAAAATTGTACCACCTATTTTCATCCAGAAGCTGCAAATCATTGAAGCCACAAAAGTAAGTTCTCTAGAATATATCTGGACATGAAAACTCATTCTTGTGGTGAAGAGAATCAATAAAAATCCAAAGAGAACACTTTTGTTTACATATAAAATAGTATACAACATTCTGAACCGTGATTATGAATAGGTTATTCATAAGGCTGTCTAAGACTTAAACGTATAGTGGTAGGGTACACATGTTATTTTTTTGGGGTGACGAGGGAAACCAGCAGCCCACTACCCAAGGGTGTACACTGGGTAAACCCTGCCTTGTGACTAGCGGGCAAAGGACTACAAGGAAGTAAACTAGCCTAGGTTGCCCATAGCTGACCGACTCAAACCAAGAAGGCTGGGATTTGAACTTGTGACCTTGTGGTTACAAGTTTGTATCGTTAGACAACTTGGCTGGGGTTACCCCCTGGGTACACATGTTATTGTTTACCTTGATATGTGCTGTGTAGTGCCCACTTCCCATGCCACCATAATGATTTGTTAAGGCATAGAGTTCATAAAGCTGCCGTTGAGAGTTGTTTTTGTTTGCTACATACTTTGTCACGTCAAAATCATGGATGGGAAAATTGACAAACGTTTCCAGCTTATGTTTCATTGACCTGCTGTATGAGAACCTTTTAAGGTGAATAACGAGCACTTCAGGTAGCCTCCAAAGGTCAAGCTTCTTGCTTGCTTGTCGTCGCTCCTTGCACTGAGGACAATACCTTCAACATTTTTGGACAAATAATGAAAAAAATAGTGTCATTAAGATGAGGAGCATTATATTAGTATCTGATGGTGTAGTCCTGTAATTAAAAGGAAGAAGAAGAAGAAGAAGAACCCACCACATATCTTCAGGCACCAGAGGCTCTTCACGGAGAAAAGCTTCCAAGCAACTGTATAATGAAAGAGGTTCAGTACGAGCTTTCTTTGTGACTGACCCGTATTTTGTTACTTCCGGCAAGTTCTCAAGGTAGTGAGTATCATAATTTTCCAAGAGCTGTTGTGGCCAATCGATAAATACCAGTATAGACTTTGATGAGGAGGACACTTTAACCGCCTTATCTTCTCCAATGGTTAGGTCTATACATGCATTATTTTCATCAACCAGCTGCAAAGGTAGTTTCTCATTGGTATCGGCAACACCGGAATCTTTACATGCTTCACTAGTGCCAGTGGCACTGGAAGAATTAGATGCTGCTACTGATGTCTTGGCACTAGAGAAATTGTAGTATCCTGGATTTTCTGTTCTTAACATTGGTGAGAGCATTTTGTAAACAATTGATTGTATGTCACCTCTCGTAATAATATCATCACATGAGATTGGTGAAACAAGAGGTGTTCCGTAAGGCTTCCAACCCACACTGCTCTGAGAAATACCAACTTCACTGAAAAGAAGAAGGCAATGCTTAATTAGGAATGATATTCATGCACCAAGCAATTTGAATAACGGGCACCTACGAATTATTTTCCTTACACAAAGACATGCTAAACATGACTAGCACACATGACCAACCTATCTGAATAATACTCCGTATAAATTAAATTAATTGAAAATGCACTCAAATTATTTTTTTGTACACAAAAGCATGCAAAATCGGAGAAAAGCTAGAAAGCTTATAACAAGCACACAATTATCTGAAATTAAGATAACCATTTGTTGATGAAAGAGAAGAAGATAACAAAAATTTAAGGGCACCCCTGATGATGCAGCCCAAATGCTTCTTTCTAAAAGCTTCTAATAAAAGGAAATTAAACCAGCTAGTAGTCTATCCAATATTCTGTCATGACATCGCAAACAGGAGAAACAAATGCATATATGTCTCAAAACCAGAAGAAAGTCATTATGTGGTCCACCATAATAAAAGAACAAAATACCCCTACCGCTCTTCACGCCGATGAATCAGTTGGAGAAATTTTGAGCTTTTCACCAATTTAGGGATCTTATAGACCGCAAGGTGGTCATCATCTTTTATAGAAGATAAAGATATCAGAGGGTCTTCCAAGTACCGATGAATCAAGTGGCCTCGTATCTACAAACAACAGAAGACAAAGAAGTAAACCTAAATAGAGATGATTGACATTCTTTGAAAGAATAAAAGATTATAAAATAATGGCAGTAGTAACCTCAGCAAGCAAGAACTTCTCATTAGGCTTTAAAGAACAAGCATTGGCAAGTGCCTGGATCAAGTCCCTGCAACGTCCCTGCTTTGGCACTGTGACCGTGCAAGCTGATGGTAGTGCACTTCCATCACAAGTGAATATTGTCACCGTCATACTTCGGGTGGTGGCAGATTGCAGTGGCAGGGAAAGGTACATGAATGGATCGAATGTAACAGAGACTTTATTACATACAGGACAAACAAGAGTCGACTTGTACTGACCCTGTGAAATGGGGAGGGCACTCTAGCTTAGAATATTGACTTAATTAAAGTTGGAAAAAATTTGCAATTTCTGAAATTCAGACTCAGTTCTGAAAATAAAGAACACACAATAAAAAGGCCAAATTCCAAATAATTTTTCTAAGAGAGTGTTCCTATTCCTAATTACTTGCCTTTGCCAAGCACATCCTATAATGAAAGCTTAATGGCAAGGTAGAAGATTGAATTTCAGTGTCTTAGTTATATAGTAGAGAGTATATGTCAGTGTGTCTAAATAGTTCACTCACTTGGCATACATCCACAATGATTGAATCATTACGAGCAATGTGATTTGCCCAGTACTCATCAGCAACTTCTTCATCAGGCCGACCATCTGCATCTTTTGATTTTATATAGGGTTTGTGTTTGACACGATTCAAGTCCTCATGAAGTCCATCTAATAGAAATGCAAGAAGTTCCTACAGAATTTTAAAAAAAAAAAAAAAAAACCATGTAAAAGATGTTTAGCATATACATACAAACTGAAATAATTTTTACATAGGTTATACACCTTAGAATCATATCTCAATGTTTCTCTTCTCTTTTATATGCATTATTACCTGAGAATCATGCTGATTATAACCACTAAATTGTGGTGCAAAACGAGCAAGCTTTGTCTTAAATGGACGTGGGGCTACAGGAGTGCGCCCTGGTGCCCACAACTTCCGGAGCAAATCACCAAATGCTAAAGCCAGCTCACCCTGTGTATTGGTTAGAAGAGTAAAGATAAGAAAATTTATGAAGCTGCATATTTACAGTTAAGAAGATTTTCTCTGCAAATACATGATAGTCCCTCTGCAAAAGTAGGTTTGGCCATGGAAAACCTTACTTGATTATATAATTATACAATCTCTGGCAGCCTATCATGAGCTTGGGATATGAAATAAAGCCTTTGCATAAACATGGGTATATGAAACTCACCACCATCCCCAAAGGATTCTGCTTGTTAATCTCTTGATAGTAATCTTCTCGAAAGTACCGTGCAAATTCTGGTGTATGAACCAGACACTGTATTGCACTGTTCATAAAGCATGTATTTCCAAGATTTAACAACCCAGTAAGACCACAAGCAGATCCCCTAGTACTAACACCACTAGTTCCATATGTCTTCTCTGTCTCCCTAACTGGAGAAGCCAAGCTCTGCAACTGAGACAACTCAGCATTGCCATTTCTAGCTGAACCCTTGCTTGCAGAAAGGCCTCCAGCAATTGAAAAATTTAACTTAGAAGGCTCGACGTGACCCGTTATTGTTCCATTAGGTGCAGATCCATTATCATGAATGAAACCCGCACCACCACCAGCATTATTACTAACAACCTCCACTAAGATCTGTGCTTCAAGTGGTCACATACAAGAGAAGGAGAAAAAAGCATCATACTCAAGTTGATTAAATATTGAAATGACTTAAAAGGGGATAAAGGTTTTCAGGGTTACTAGACAATTGGTCCATCATTCACATTTACACATGATTGGTCAAAATAATATAACGTCAATCAAAAGAGCACACTTTGAATGGTAAACTAAAAATTGTTCTCATATTAGCTTTATAAAACTTTTCCATGCAGATGCACACAGTCTGAAGACGAGTCTTCCACATCACCCTGTCTCTATTTTCACAAAAAGAAAAGACAGCACATCAGGGAGAAAAGGATAGCTAACAACTCAAAACACATACATAGACATCATTCTAGCTGTTCACAGACATTCAACTTGGACATAAATGATAAGAATGGCTTTGTGGATGGATCAACAGGCATCAATTTAAATGTGGACCTAACTTTCTGATGCAAAACTGATTTCTTTAGCAGAGATAATAGTTGTCAAAAAAATTAAATGTTCTTAAATAAAGAAACCCACATCCTGATCCATTTGAATATTTGCATCATCCAGTGTCTTTTCCATGTCATTCATCAAAGCATGCTTTTGATGGCTAAAGTAGTCCCATATGCACACCTGCAACACAAAGAAACTATTGTAAGTAGTAGAAACATAATTTGTATTATTGGAGACAAATGAAGATGCAAAGCATAAGGCACACTGATGAAGACTTTACTTGCTCTGGATTAAGATTAAAGATTTTTGAAGCTTTTTTGTGTAGTTCTCCAATTGTCTCCTGCTCAAAAGAAAGAAAATAAACATTTTGAATCCTGTAGTAAACTGAGTATGTAAGATCAACAATGTTATTCCATTCCTTCTTGCTCCTGTTGTATTTTCTTTGTTTTCATATTCATTGTTGGAGTAGGGAGTGAGTTTAAGCAAATGTAAGTTGATACTGCTAATTCATACTTTTTTACTTATCCTTATGGTAGAGCACTCATCATTTGGCATCAGATGTAATTGGAGACGTAGAGGATAAACTTCTACAGCCAATTCTGTTTGCGAGAGCCCTGAGCTGATTACTTTTCGAGCCAATATAGGACCGCCTCCATACCTAAACCAGGTAAACAGCTTTTAGGATTCCCCCATAGTGACATAATCTAAGCAGAATAAACTTCAAAATATTTCAAGTTAATCTTAGCAATTAGAAATCAATAGAGTGATTCTCATATAGCAAGCACTAATTAAAGAAGGATATGAAGGAAAATCATCCACAGTCCACCAATTAAAAAAGCAATGTATTTGAGGACTCTTGTATGATTTATCACATTTTAGTAAGAATAACTGCTAGACATATGTGTAAACTGAACTGCAGTTTTTTGTACTCTTTATTTCATAAGGTGTACATTAGATAAACTGTTGAGATTAAAGACTTCTCTAATGTAACAAATATTTGAACCTGAAGTTCTATCCTGTCATGGTTGAAGGGGCAAAGAAGTGGCGAATGATAGCATGCGAGTGATACAGCAAAACCATTTCCATTAGCTACTAGGATGCAAGTGATATGATCTGTAAGAGGCCAATAAATCAAAAGAAACAATCCCATGTTTCTTAAATAATCTCACTTATTTAGTTATTTTGAGAACTTTATTCTCCCAATATGAAGTTAAAATTGTGACAGAAAAGTCATGCATTTCCTAAACCAGGCAAGCAGTTTTTAGGATTCCCCTATAGTGACATAATCTAAGCAGAATAAACTCCAAAATAGGGATTATATTTCAGGTTAATCTTAGCAATTAGAAATCAATAGAATGATTCTCATATAGCAAGCACTAATTAAAGAAGGATATGAAGGAAGATCATCCATGGTCCACCAATTAAAAAAGAAATGCATTTGAGGACTCTTGTGTGATTTATCACATTTTAGTAAGGATAACTGCTAGACATATGTGTAAATTGAACTGCAGTTTTTTGTACTCTTTATTAAGGTGTACATTAGATAAACTGTTAAGATTAAAGGCTTCTCTAATGTAACAAATATTTGAATCTGAAGTTCTATCCTGTCATGGTTGAAGGGGCAAAAAAGTGGCGAATGATAGCATGTGAGTGACGCAGCAAAACCATTTCCGTTAGCCACTAGGATGCAAGTGATATGATCTGTAAGAGGCCAATAAATCAAAAGAAACAATCTCATGTTTCTTAAATAATCTCACTTGTTTAGTGATTTTGAGAACTTTATTATCCCAATATGAAGTTAAAATTCTGACAGAAAAGTCATGCATTTCCCATTTTCCCTCCCCTCCCCCCAAAACCACCCCCTGCTCATGTTAGGAAGGGCAGCCTGAAGCTGTTAGGACAGAGAAAATCTTAAAGATGTACTTGAAACTACAACTTATATCATCTAGTCTAAGAAAACTGAAGATGCTTATATACCATGTGTATAATTGATTCCAGACTTCCTGAGGAAGCAATATATAATCAGTGCCTTCTACTAGAGTATCACGGAGCTCAATTCCCATCACAGAACTTTCTGATGTTGCTTCATATATAATGTCAGAATTATCAATACTTGAAGGCCTTTTCAGAGCACAATACTCAGAAGCAGATCCATCATTCAAACTATTAATCTGGTTTTGATTGACATATTCAAGCCATTCATGCCACCACCTGTACAGAAAAAGTGAGAAGTAGATATATATTAAAGACTATATAACCATGTTTTGGATGTTAACATATACAAATAAGGCAAAAAGGACCAATCTTTCAGAATTCTGCATATGAACTTGCACTAATTAGCAACTGTCTTCTCCCAAAACATAATTACAAAAGACTTGCCTACTCTCCGAATCCGATGAACTTTATTTCAACATATGTCATAATTTTCTGAAGTGGGACTAAAGTTTGAGCTGCATAAAACTCAGTGTTTTTCATAATTAAACATAGTGGAGGGTTTCAATGAAACAAAAACCTAGAAGTCAGATGTAAGCCATTACAAGTAGCAAATCAGATATATCAATCTCGTTCATCATATTTTCCTTTCAATAAAAATGATAAAGATCATAATTTTCTGTTTATTATAAAACATATAGTACTCCTGGTATTTTCTTGAAGACTGAAAGAGAAAAGGCTCTTGATACTAAGGGGCACCAATTGAACCCTTGCCCACCGACTAAAACCCTCGTTGCTTCTCAACCAAACATATTTTTGGGAAAACAAACTGCTTTCATCATCACACAAAAAAAGATTATGAATAGAAAACATGAATGGAAACCCTAGAAAAATGCTGCTGCAGAGTTTTTAGATTTATCTGAGAAAAAAAAAAAAAAAAAAAAAAGACATAAATTTGCATAGTTACCACCTCTGAGTGATTAAATAGAATGTATCGCCTTCTTTGGTCTGAGCTTCCGCGGAGATTGAAATGTCTCTAATACACAGCTTCTCTTCCTCTGGTGTCAGCTCCGATTTAACTTCCGGCATCTCCTGGAGCCGCTATCTTCCTTACCTCAGTGACGAGTAAATTTAGCAAAAAATAAATAAAATTCAGGGTATTTGGGACTGAAAGTTTTGGTTTCTTCACATAAATTAGGTTTCAGTACTCTACTCTCTAGTGCCTGGGGAGAGAGAGAGAGACTGGAAATTTTTGCTCTAAGAAACGGATTTGGATTATTGCACACATTAATAATCCCTTCCCTTTGCGGAAAATATAAATTTAAGAAGAAAATGCGGATGAAATCTTTGTTTGTGTAAAAGCTCCTTCTAAAATAAATTATTTATGGGTTTTGTACTTGAAGAATGCTGCGTTTCTCAAATATTTTCCTTTGAATATTATTCTGATTTTTTTTTTAATATTATTAACTTTGTTACAATGTAATATATGTTCATATCTACTTTTTTAATCTTTTGAAACACAAAGAGTCTATACTTCCCTAGTCCACTAGAACTTGAACACATGACCTCCCATTTTAAGAGTCACAACATGTAGTAGACCACAAGGTCATTAACAAATATTATTTATTTAATTTCACATAATTAACATTGTTTTTTTTAAATCAATTAAAGATGAATACTTAACAATAAAAATACCAATTTGACTCGTATATTATGTTCTTTTGATTATGCTACTTATCTATGTAAAATATAAAAGCTCACTCAGCAGCACCTTGATCTGCTCCCTCTTCAGCAGCGAACAATGGCGTCGTGGGCAAGCTCCTCTTCCCCAACTCCGGCGACTTTTCCTCCTCGACAGCAGCCACCACCACCACCACTCCCTCTCTCGTCGACAACAACAAACCGGCAGAATCAACAAAAGGCAAATCTGGTGCAACACCACCACCGTCTTCTTCCTTCACGCCTCACTTCTCCTTCGTCTCTCTCTCTCTTTCTCTCTCTCTCGACCACGACAAACAAAGAGATGAAAGCAACAGTGGTGATGGTCTTTGACGAGCTCGAGCTTCTCCTCTCCGACGAACTGTTGCGACGAGTGGCGTTGGGCAGTGGCGACGAGCAACAGTGACGACCCTCTCTGGTGACCCCTGTTTTCCTTGTGAGCAGGGCTGAGCAGCGGCAATGGATTCGACGGTGGTCTATCGATAACCTCCTCTGTTTGGCGATCCAGTGTGACATGTTTTCCCCGGTGAGGAGGTGGCGCGGCAGCTTTCACCTTCGGCCTTCTATTTATGTGCGTATGTTTAGAAAAAGAAATTAATTTAGTGGGAGGGGGGTAAAATAGGAAATAACAACTTTAGGCTATTCTTGAGAACTTAGAAATAGCCTAATACCAGGGGTGCCAGGAATCTCTATTCCCCTTGCAAGGGAATAGGTCATTCCAAGGAACAATGTTCCTGGGAATAGAAGATTTTACCAAACAACGGAATAAGTCTATTACTAAAAATGATATTCCATTTCAGGCCTATTCCGCGAACCAAACGTACCATAAGACCTTTAAAATATTTATATCTCGTTAGCACTAAGCTACTTAAACATTTTTATTTTATATGTTAACAAATAATATAGTTAATATTTATCTGAGTATGTAAAACATCTCATATTCTTAGGGCATCCCCAAAAGAGAATTTTGGGGAGATTTTGGAATTGTTAAAAACATGGTGCTTGACTTTCTACAAATGTGAAGGTGAATTTTTTTTTAGGGGTTCTTACTCCTGCAAATAAGAATTCTTACTGGTCCCACTTGCAGAGATAAAAGATAGCAAAAGAAGTTGCAGAGGCACTTGCTCTGCACGCTCCAGCTGGGTGCGTGAAAGGGCTATTTTTAATTTTAATTTTTTAATTTTTCATGTCAGGCTTTTTTTCCTTCCCTTGTTCTCTTCCCTTTACCCTCCCTCTCCTACATGGCTATGACAAAATGTAACAAAAATACCTCACTATTGAGGTTGCTATTAATTCACTTGCTCATGCTTCCTCAAATAAAGAATGTGAGCAAAAATAAGGAATATTTGATATGAAAATATTCGTAAATGTTATGTAATTTGATTAATCTAGCATATCAAAAGCAATCAACTTGATATATATCTTAGGGATAAATAAATAAATAAATAAATATATATATATATATATATATATATATAGAGGATATTATAGTAAATTGATCCATATAACTTAAAATATTTCCATTAACCAAACAAGATAATATTATATTCCACAATCTAAACCAAACAAATAAGGTTATCTTACATTCTCAAAACCTCACATTACATTTGATTTGAGATATATCCTTATCCCTGCAAATCTCTTTCACTTTCAAAAATGAGTCTCACTTCCACATAGGGGTGTAAATGAGCCGAGCAGCTCGGTCAAAGCTCGACTCGAGCTCGGTCAAAATCAAGCTCGAGCGGCTCGTTTAGTAATCGAACTCGAGGCGAACCTAGATATTCTAGGCTCGTGGCTCGTCGAGCCACTCGCGAGCTATATAATATAAAATATATATAATACATAATATAATATAATATAATAATATATAAAAATAACAATTATAAATTAAAATTTTAAACTCAAAATCCCTAAAAGATTTCTATTATTTATGTATGGATAAAACGAAGTAGTTTGAATTTTAAATCAAAAGTATTAAATAGGTCAAATTCAATGTCAAAATCGAGTTCGAACTCGAGCAATCGAGCTGCTCGAGCAGCCCGAAATTACCAAGCTCGAGCCGAGCCTCCATTAACGAGCTCGGCTCGGCACGTTTACATCCCTACTTCCACATCATCAAATTTGCAAATCATTTACTATTCACCCTATATCCTGCAAATCCAATCAACTTTTAAAAGTGGTCCCAATTTCACATCACTTTAAAAAATTAATATATTTTTCTCAATAATTATTATTTTCTCTTAAACATTATTAATTTATTTCAATATATAAATTACATTTAAATATTAAAAATAACAAAAATGAAAATCCAAAAACATAATTTTTTATTTAAATTACTTTTAAATATTAAAAATAGCAATACTAAAAATCTAAAAACGTATTTAAAAAAAAAATAATTTAAGAAATTATTCGTAGTATATATGTATATAACTAAATGTAAATTATACTACGATTTGAATTGTAAAACTAGACCTCAAACGCAAAATAGTTGTACGATAAACAAATGAAGAAATTATTAGATGAGTAAGTATAATGAAATTAATTTGTATGCATTGTATCTATAAATGAATGAAAATTTATGTACTATTTTGATATATTATTTTATTAAAAATTTTTATTACATATAAATAAAGAATCAATTTTTTAAAAATAAAAATAAAAATAAAGCAAACAAAATAAACAAACAAACAAAAAAAAAACTGTACTCAAAAGATAAACAAAAGAAAATAAAATAAAAAAAAAACAAAACAAAATAAATTTAAAAAAAAAAAAAAAAAACAAACAAACAAACAAAAAAATGAGGTACCAAACGGATTGCAAATTTGAAATCCTACTAAGCATAAAAAAATTATAAATGTTTATTAGAAATTCCATCTTACTTTGCCAATCTCATATTTGTGGGGATAATGGCAGTCTAAGAAAAAAAATGCTAACACAAATTTATTAAATTTGTATACACAATATTTTAAAAAATTACAACGTAGGATCATTTAAATTTTTTTTTAATAATATATCAACATATATACTTTATATAGCTAAAAGTTCAAATTAAACTATTAAAATAACATTTACATCTGTATAAACATGTTCAAATATTATAACTACCAATTAATACTTAACTAAACACAAAATTTTAAAAGTTTAGAGTCACAAAATACAAATGTTTAAATTTTGTTTTTGCCAATAAGCTTGAGCTAAGTCTTGTGGGAGTACCCAAAAAAATGTGTTCGGAAAACCAATGACCATGATGTATTTTTTACTATACAGTGTAATGACATCTCTATTATCATTCTGAATGGGTAAATCACAAGATCGAATCTCGGTGGTGAGACATTAATTTTATGGACGAAAAAGCATTGAAAAAGTATATAACAGATACTACCTTATAAATAATCAAATTTATTATTATTATTTATTTAATGAGTTTTATTGTTTTTTTAGAAAAGAAAGAAAATAAATGGTAAAACACAAGTGTTATGTCACTTAAAAAAAAAAACAAAAAAACAAAAAAAAAACCCTATAATGAGAGACTGAAACATTGATGAGTGATGAACAAAACAAGGTTGGAGTCTGATAGAAATTACAGATCAAAGAAGCAAATATAGAATGAGATTTTCTCCTTCAACAATTTACAGTATCCACTACTTCCTCCTTCCTATGCTATAACAACACTAACTGTATTCACATTCTACATTTAACTAATCCTAAACATACCCAAACAAGGAAAACCAAATTACTGCTGCATTGCATTGCATTGCCTAAAAATGAATAAATATTACACTGCAAGTTTATAACTAACTGAGGAACAGGCCGACCAGAATAGCCAGCAACTTTATTTTTTTTTTCTATCTAGATATTAATCAAAAGGGTCTTAACTCTTAACAAGAGGAGTCAGCACTCAGCACAGCAATGGCAACCCAGGCGAGGATCTCAAGATGGTTTTGGCATGGACGGTAGAGGAAGGATAGAGTTGGCAAGCTCTTCATTCAACTTCACAGGGAGCGGTGGCATCTGCTTCATTATTTCCGGTGAATCGTTCAAGCTACTGTAGATTTTAACAAGTATAAATTTAAGCATCGGAATTACCCATTCATATGCATAATTGAAACATCACACATCCAGGAAAAGAAAAAAGAGGGAAGATATGCATGACTAAAGCAAGTTAACTGACTTTCTTGAATCATGACATAAGAAGGCAGAAAAGTCATGTTTGAATCAGACCGTTATTCCAACTGTTATAATCTAAGAAAGACTGAATCCAATCAATTAGCTAGTCTAACCCATAACCTTATATAAAGACATATGTTCTCCGTGGACAACCGGACCATTTTGAATCTAACTGGTCCGGTTGACCACTTGAAATTGGGTTGGACCTACCCGGACCATTTTGAATCTAACCGGTCTGGTTGACCACTTGAAATTGGGTTGACCTACCCCTAAAATGAAAGCTCTGGACGTCACCAAAGTGGACCGAACAAGAAGAAGACTTAGGGCTTAGGATTTGACCCACTCTCCCCCGAAACGAATGAAAGCCTGGATCCAATACCATGGGTAGACGACCGGGTGAACACAAAATGGATTAAACCAAGCTCTAATACCATGTTATAATCTAAAGTTAGGTCAATCTCACTCAATTGTTGGGCT